CCCCAAAACCCCAAAACCCCAAAACCCCAAAACCCCTTTTTTAATTTCTTTTGTTGAAATTACAAACTGAATGAGAGGAATGCAGTGAGCATTGTCAGGACAAGGACTGAAATAGATGGCCCATAACCACTGTTGATGCCTAGTAGGGTGTACCTAAGTGAGGTTTAAGAACAATACTTACTTTCTTTTTGTGTTACACCATTCTTCAACCTCGTTAACTTCAGGGAACAAGTACTTGTTGGAGTAAAGTTTCACACATTCTGAAGCTTCAGTGTACTGGATGTAGTTCTTCGCCATAGCTTTCTTGCATTGTTTTTTGTCGTTAAGTTCAGACTCCCCACATACACCTTCGAAGGTCTGGGCTCCATGACAATTTTTAGTTGCTTTGTAGTATTTTTTCACAGAGCTGAAGTAATCCTTCCATTCTTCATTTCCTGGAAGGATTCCACATATTTTACTGTTTGAGCCAGAAGAGCAGTCACATTTGGCGAATACACTTCCATCTGAAGAGTATCAGTCAAAACTTGTTTTGCATTCTTCGCCTGCTTTTTCTGAGAGAATTGCTTTGCCTCATTCATAACTTCCTGCAACGAAATCCGTGCCAATTTTGTACTCATACTCACCAGTGACGGTAGTAAGGCTTCCATATCCGTCCTCACAGACAAAGGTGTCTTCTTCAGTCTTGGCATAAATACTTGTTCCTTGAGGAACTGTGTAGTATTCAGTGCATTTTCCATTAGCATCAGCTGAATTAAGGAAGATGCATGTGGCTGTCCTTCCGCAATCCTGTGATTGCTGGCACTGGTTATCCAAATCTTTGATCTTCTGACAAGTGTTGAGAGTGGTATCTCAGAAAAGGCCAGGATTACAATCCTCATGTCTTGCTCAACGCTCATTTTCGAGGAACCCAAGACATCTGAATGCAGAGCAGGATCTGTACCCATACCCTCACTCATAAAGAGCTCTTTGTGGATCACATCTTTCTCCTGGGAGGGCAATCTCTACTGGGTAGAATTCAAAGCGAGTAGCATTGCTTTTGCAAACTCCGGCCATTGGAGAAGTTGCGGTCATATGGCAATATTGCTTATCATATGTATTTCATGAAGATAAGACTGTACTTGAACCACTGAAGGACTTCAAGCACTCATCCCCTACATTAATGTTGCTATTATCAGTAAGGTCTATGTCAGAGCACTGGATCTCCTGGCAAGTTTGGGCATAAAGGACTCCTATTATCGAAGTCAAAACTGTAAATATTGAGATCCTCATATTAAAAGGTATTTATTATATTTTAATAATTTACGGGGTTTTGGGGTTTTGGGGTTTTGGGGTTTTGGGG